TTTTTCAAATAATAATACCTATAAAATTATTTATGGACACAATCTCTCAGATAGAACTTGATCGTACCTGGATCAGAAGGATCTTCAGTGGCCTGCAACACTTAGACTTCTGCGGTTGTTGAAGTTAATGAGATGGATACCTGCGAGACACTCTGATGTCAAAGTGAGGTTCATAGTGAAAGTGCAAGTATAGAGTTAGAGTGAGTAGAATAATGTGTACCTGATCCTCTAGTGAAAAAGAGTATTTATAGCCCTCAGCGCTAGGCCAAAGTCTCCATTTATAGTGGATGCTCATGCCCACAATAGAGACTGACAGGATCCTACGTGGATAGAGGAGACAAGTCCGTGGTCTCTATCCTGGTTTAACTGCCCTATGATTCTCGAAGGATGAAGACCCGTTCTTTTCGGGAGCAGGATGACTCTGTGATATCCGGAGGAACGTTGACCACGTATCTTTGGTGGACACGTGGAGGAAGCGTCCCCGACGAGCACGTGAAAGAGACGTCATTGATGTGTATGTGGGGGAGACGTCCCCGACGGGCATAACAATTTAGGCCACTGTAGTGAATTTTCCTCGCAGCAGTACTGGGTCAGACTTGTCTGACAGAGGATCAAGTGCAACTCTAGTCCACAACAGATTGTTGAGCCTTTCTTATAATATTGGGTTGGACCTTGCCCGACGATAGATTAAACGCAGGCATAATCCAAAACAGAACTGTTAAAAAAACTACTCAACCGAAACAAATTAAAGTTAAAATAGTTTAACTATAATGTCCGATTAGAAAACTAAATCCATGTTACATAAATAATTTTAGAAATGAACCAAATGACAAATAAATTAAATTTGAACTGAAAATGCTAAAAACAAATTTAATATTTTTAAAAAATTGAAAAAAATTATAATGAATTGATTCTTTAACAAATTATTCAGTTTATGAAAAGCAATTTTCTAATGATTTTGTACCGTTAGAAATTCTCAACCTGTAATACTAAATCTATAATTTAATTTGGTTTGGTTCTAAATAAATTAAAACATTTCGATTTAGATTACTTTTTCTATTATTGTTTTTATTTTATTTTATTTTATTTAGTCAAATGAGACTTTCTAATAATTCATTTGAGCATGCGATCATAACCTCGCCGGGTGGGTATGAGTAGGTGGTGATTATTGGAAAAAAACACAAAAAAAACATTATCCCCTGGGCTCTATAAATTGGTTCCTTATTACTCTAACAATCATCAAACTAAATAAGATATTCCAATGGGCAATGAAACATGTAGCCTTTCAAATTCAATTCTCCTTCTCTTAATTTTTCTCACCTTGTTCTCTAGTACTAATGCTGGAGACATAGTGGTTTATTGGGGTCAAAACGAGAGAGAAGGTTCATTAACAGAAACATGCAACACCGGACTCTACAAAATTGTGAACATAGCATTTCTATCAATATTTGGAAACGGTCGCAAACCTCAACTCAATCTAGCAGGTCATTGTAATCCTTTATCAAACAATGGTTGCAAGAGTTTGAGCATAGACATAAAAAACTGCCAAAAGAAAGGCATCATAATCATTCTCTCAATCGGCGGCGGTGTAAACGGTTACTCTTTGTCATCCAATGAAGATGCTAGAAACGTAGGAGATTACATATGGAACAATTTCCTAGGAGGGAAATCATTTTCAAGACCTTTAGGTGATGCTGTGTTGGATGGTGTAGATTTTGATATTGAAGTTGGTGGTGGTGAAGTTTTTTACATTGAGCTTGCGAGAAGACTCTTTCAATCTCAACATGGAGGGAACAAAAAAGTGTACTTAACAGCAGCACCTCAATGTCCATTCCCTGATCAAAATCTCAAAAGTGCATTATCAACAGGACTATTTGATTATGTTTGGGTTCAGTTTTACAACAATGGTCCTTGTCAATTTGATTCTAGCAACCCTAACAAGTTCCAAAAATCTTGGAACCAGTGGGTTTCGACTATTAAGGTTAGTAAGATTTATGTTGGTGTTCCTGCATCAGTGTCAAGTGCAAGTAGTGGTTTTGTGCCGACACGTGTGCTTATAAGTCAAGTGTTGCCTTTTGTTAAAAGATCTGGGAAGTATGGTGGGGTGATGCTTTGGGATAGGTTTGCTGATGAGCAAAATGGATATGGTAGGATCATTAAGGCATCTGTCTGAGCTTTACCAAAGGTCGTTTACTTTGTTTAAGATGTATGTATAAATAAATGCATGTTGTTGTAATGAGTTTGGACTGTCAAGTCAAGTTGATTAACAAGCTTTGTTTCAATTAATTGATGAATAACAGACACCTCTAGAAATGGTCTCTGACATTTGTACGATACTCGTATGATATATGTCGAAAAAGTTAGAGTCTCTTAGATAAATGTCTCAAAAAATTTAATTTTTTTCTTCGCTTTGAAATATTTTGAATTGGTATCCGATACCATACGATATTCATACAATACGTGTATGATAAGTCATACAATTTTTTTAAAAATAAAATAAAATGTGTTTTTCTTTTTTTCAACACACTTTATATATTTTTTAGACAAATATCACACACGATTAAAATGGTTAAATATGTACGGAAACAATGTTATTAACAAAGAATTAAAAACATTAATTTTAATTAGAATATTTTTAACTCTTTTGATATTAGATGAATAAATGAAACTCAAATACTATGACATATTCTCTCGGTCTCAAAGTAATTATCTTTTTAACTTCAAAAAATTGTCTAAAATAATAGTCTTTTTGCTTTTCTAATGCAATTATAATTAATTTTTATCAATTTTATTTCTTGTATATTTTTTTTCTTCAAGTATGACAATGTATTACAACCAATAATAATAAAGAATAATTTTGTAAAAATAGTACTTTTATTGACTCAATCATTATTTTTCTTAATTTCTATATAACAACTTTAAACGATTATTATTTCAAGAGAGAGAGTATACAGCACTGGGTGTCCTATATCATTAGAGTATTCATGTTAGAGTATTGTAAATACCAGTATTAATTGCAGCCGAAGGAAAAGCCGCAAGGTCGCTTTGAGTTTTGTGTGAACTCTCACATGAACTAAAACTTAGTTTGACATTTATTTTAGAGTTGTTTTTCAAGAATTTTGTGTGATATGTATTTGTCTTTTATGATACACAATGTTTTCACTATTGGTGCTCTTGTTATACCGTTAATTTTACGTTGCATTTTGTGATTTGAATTATTTTTTCTAAAGGTGAATGAATAGGATCCTGCGGGTTCAAACTTGCGTTTGGATATGTCTTTGCACCTACCAACAAACTTGTATTAATGGAACAACCACAACTTTTTTTCTTCTTTTTTTTATTGAACCACGATTTTTTTTATTGAATCACAACTTTAGTTTTACAATTAAATAAAAGTTATATTTAAATATTCATTCACCATTCTGATTAGAGGACTCTGAATAATTTTTCATTCGTGTATTTGAATTAATGTTGTTGAGAATATAACAAATGTAAGTATGGGAAAACAGTCTCACATTAAATATGAATGTAGTGATTTGAGTATTTATAAGTGAGAAAATTCATTTATTTATCATCTTAAGGTTTTAGATGGACAAGTGATGTATCTTCCACAAAGGTGTGTTACTTAAACAGAAAATCTCAAAAATAAAAATATTTTTTGCTTGATCCTCTTCCGATTGTTGCACTAACGAATGCCTTTAAATAAAGACTACGTTGAAAAAAATTAAACACAATTTTTAATATTTTTGATTTAATAACTAAATGAAAAAAAGTGAAGGGAGAAAAAAAAAATAGACGAATGTTTGTATGAATTATCTCAAATTAAAATGTCATGTTAGACTAGCAAAACGGATGGAGTCCATTCGTTTAACTTATTATATACGAAAAATTTGTTCACTGAATCTTATTATTTAAATATGTGAAGTTAAATTATGCAAAATTATTTTATAATTAAGGTTGATTGATTCACTCGAATGAATAATAAAGAACAAAAAATTTTAATTGAAATTGATTGAATTTCATTCATCAAAATTAATTAAAAATTTTCCATAAATTTATTTTAGTTCCCAACATAAAAATATAGAAATTAAATTATATATTTAAAGGGAGGTCATTAATCACTTGAACCCTTACTTAATTATGGTATATTATCTCTAGTTCACGCTTTCTTATATTTTATCTTATAACTTTTATCTTCACCAAAAAATAAAAATTTTCTTTTTGTTCACGTAAAAGAAATTTGTATTTGCCATACAAATATTTGTATTCTTTTTATTTTGTTTAATCACTGTAAAATTAATTTAAATTATATTTAGTAATATTTAATTATAGTCATTTTAATATTATTATTAAAATATTAAAATTAAATACTTTAGATATTATAAAATTAAATTCAATATAAATTAATTTTGCAGTAATTAAAAAAAATTATAAACAAATTAAAAATATTTACAATTTTTTTTTTTTAAAGTTATTGGATTAAAGTGATATATTTACAAATATTAATTACATATTTAAACCAATTCAATTTACAAACAAATAAAAAACATTTAAAACTGCAATATCAAATTAAAAATAATAATAAAACTATCATAATTAAATTCAAGTGGATCATACTTGCACTAATCAAGCTTTTATTTCAATTTAGTAATTTATTTTTGTTAGTTTTTTTAATTGGTAGAATAATGTTTTAGTTTTATTTCGTGACATCACTTTGCATAGTTAAACTTATTCCTTTTCGTTAAACCTAACAAAACATACACTTGCAACCGTAAATTCAATCACGCCGCTGGTTTGTATTCTCATTTTCCTTTCTTGTTCATTCTTCTCTCTCCATTTTTTTAAACCAGCTACACGCGCCGCCGTGTTCTCGTCTGAGGCAGCCGCGGCGGTGATACGCGCCGCTGTTTGGCGCGATTAACCACCTAGGGTTTGTTTATTCACTAATCTATTGCCCTAATATTCTTAAATTGATTGTGTTGTTGTTGTTTAGATAGAAGATGGAGTTTTGTCCAACGTGCGGGAGCATGCTGTTGATTGAACTACCGAATATGGGTCACGCCACTAGGTTTTATTGCACCACTTGCCCGTATGTTTGTCCAATCGAAAGAGGGGTTAAGATTAAGAGAAAGCAGATTTTGGTTCGGAAAGGGATTGATCCTGTTATCTCCTCTGATGACATAAAGAATGCACCCACTACTGAAGGTATTACTTATTTTTCTTTTCTGTTCAATAATTCTATGATTTCTCTGAATTCATTTACTAGTTTATTTGCTGATGGATTTTTGTCATTTGACTCTGAAGATTAATTTCGGATTACCTTTCTTTTCTTGTTCAATTAGTACCTTCTCCTGTGTTGATTTGAATCATAACTCAGCACCACAACGGGCTTTTGTTTAGTGCAATGTTAGCTGGTATAGCAGCGCTCCACTGGTATAGCGTAGCGGAATTTAGACAAACCACTATTCTTCTGAGATATGTTATGTTATTTAGTACGGAATGTTGTCAAATACTAGTGAACTTGTTAAAAAAAGTACAAAAAAGATAACCCCGTGTTTGTAGGACTCTCTCTGGTACTTAGGTTATTGGCTGTGTTTAGGGCTAGCTCACATAGGGTTGTGAGAAGCTCTGTATTTGGCTTTTTGGGAGAAAGATTGGGTCTACCTTCTCCATTCTAAGAATGAGGTATACGGCTTTTTGGGCCTGAGCTAGTAGACCGAAGAGCAATTTAACCCCAGCTACATGATTAGTCATGAGGATTAGAGGAGAATAGGAGAATCATTCTCTCTTGTATCTTGTGGAAGCAGTTATCCCTTCTTGAGTGACCTTGTCAGACAGTTGCTACCTCTTGGACATGTCACTACCCACGTTTATTAGCGAGATGTGTACGGAAGTCAACTCGGGTGGCCCAAGCCCAATTGGGCAGTCTATCGTCAAGTTCTGGGCGGTCTCGTCCCATCACCTTATGTTGGGTGTTTGCCCAGTGCAGAGGCATTTGGGTTGTGTTGTACAATCATGGATCTTCTTGCTCAGGTCCCAGTAAAATTATCCCACTACAAGTAGCTATAGTACTATTGCATAGCAGAATTTTAACAATCGGCTGTAACTCTGTAAGCTTCTTTATTTCTTCTGATGGGATTTTTGAGGATGCCTGGGTATTTCATGCTTAAGTGCCAAAATGTGAAGATTAGTCTAAGCCATATCAAATTTGTGTGGTTTTGTTTTAAGGATAATGTGTCTCAATGCAAAGATTCATCTGATACTTGTGTATATTTATAAGCTTTAAGAAGTAAGGAAGTGGAAGCCATGGTCTGGTTTTGCTTGTCTGAGTCATGTTTCGGCTTAGCTTATCAACTCCTAACAGGAACTTTTTATTTTATTTTCCTTGTACTAAAGCCTATCTCTGCTGTTCATCACGAGATTCCATTAAGCTTTTCTATTGCATCATATTTGTGTGCGTGGTGGAGGTGGGGGCATGCTGGTTTATAGATTGATGCAATGTTTTAAAATCGAACCAACCAAAATGGTTCACACAGTAATATCCTGGTGACATTCTCTTCTTTTTCTCACTAGTTCCTTCCTCTCTCTCTTTTTTTTTGCAGTACCATGCCCAATTTGCCGCCATGATAAAGCTGCTTATAAGGAGATTCAGACTAGATCAGCTGATGAGCCTGCAACATTATTTTTCAAATGTTTGAATATGAAGTGTGGCCACAATTGGAGAGAGGGTTGATATGCAAATAATTTTTGTCATGCCATAAAGATATAGAAGCTTTTCATACTGTTTCTGATTAGAGTTATGTGAGAGATTAGAGTGTTTATTTTTTTTTTTAAATTTTATTTTACTTTTCATTAAGTAACGGTTACAAAAATTACATTGTTTTATTATTGTTCTAAGCTTGTCTAGATATAGAATTTTGTAATCCTAATTGTGTGAAGTGTTTTGTGATAAAACTCTTTTAGCAAAATCCTAACTATCTTTTGCAAATAAGCCATTTCCATGGAAATTAACGACCTTTTTGGTGTTACATTTTGATAATATTTTCGAGTTGCAAAATTATTTAACTTTTTCTTTATTATTCATCTGAGGTTAGGCAGTGGTGATTTCAAATAAACCAGTTTTAACTATAGTACAAATGTATGATTTCTCCTCTGTTTACTAGCAATATTTTGTACTATGAAGAGAATCAAACTCTTTTTTTTTCTTAAATTGTTGGAGTACTATTTCTTCAATTTCCCATTTTACATTCCTTTTTTTCAAAATCTTCTCTTTTGCAAATAAAATTTTAAGGTTGGTGATGCATAATAAATGATTTTGTGATAGAATCCTAAGCGCTAATTAGCATTAGTGAGGAACCTATGCCTAAATATTTAGGTTTTTAACTGGTTATAAAAAAAACACATTAGATTTTTGTGATCAGAATCCTTACTCTAAAAGCAAATTATTAACATGCGTTCCACATCTTAATCATTAATTCTTTTCAATTCAATAGTTCAGAATAATACGTAATTAATATGGAGAGAGAAAACCATTACTTAATATTTTTAACTATTGAATTGAAAAGAATTAATGGTATATGTGGAGTAAGTTTTAATAACTTACTCTTGAAGTATATATATATATATATATATATATATATATATATATATATATATATATATATATATATATATATATATATATATATATATATATATATATATATATATATATATATATATATATACACTAGAGAGGTATTTTGATTAAAATTAGACATTTTAAAAGAGAAATTTGATATTTCATAAATTTAAAATTGTCATATGTTCACGACTTGGTCTACTATTTTTTTATACCTATTACAATACACGTTCATGAATTAGAATTATTGAGATACGATTCTGATACGGAGGCTCCAACAGTTCCAATCAGTTGGACGGAATGGATATACAAGATTAACATTCTAACGCCTAAGTCAGCAGTTCTTGTGAATTAGGCGAGATGGATACGCAAGATTAACATTCCAACGTCTAAGTCAATATTAAAATAATAGGTGAAAGAGTGAGTCTTACGTTTAAGAATATAATCCATATTTCTTCTTCTTGAAGGATGGATGTATATATCTTGGATTGAATTTGGGCTTTCTTTTCTTTTTGGGCCGAAGTTTAGCCCAAAATAATTTCCCCACAAGGCTTTTTACGTCGGGGACATGAGAGTGAGAAGTCTTATATAGAGCACGATCGAACATATTAGTTTGTGATCCTGTAACTGAGAAGTGGGAAAAATTAGTTCCTGAAATGCATGTCTTATCATTGTAATGTGTGGGTGATTCATTGGCATTGGGTTTCAGGTTAAGCGCTTCCCTATAGGGCATTCAAGTGCACTCTATTGTTGTTTACATTTTTTGAGGTACAACTTGAACCGTTAACTTTCCTTCTTCCATTTTCCATTGTTTTGCACCGTTTGCTTTACCGTTTCGTCACTATATATAATGAAGCTTAGCGTTTGGAACGACTTTTGCTTCCATTGTTGTGGGTTTTGAGAGCCTTTTCCCTTAGACGCTCTAGTGACCATCATTGTTCTTTCCTTTCTAGAGTTCTGACACCATCAAATCGCCTTTGCTCCAACCATGTATTCTTTTTCCCCTTACTTCCTTATTCGTTGTCTTCCTTTCACGCGAGAGGTATACTTGAGATCATGAATGAGATGGTTGGAGAGGATTCACCTCACTCTGAAATATATGAAAACCCATATAACCCCCAAGTTAGTCCCATAGATTTTAATGGCCCAAACCCTAACTTCGTGCTACTGAGTGACAGTCCTGGGTCTGGTGGAGGTTATGTCGAAGATTATAATATTCATTTTGATGTCTCTGAAGATTGTGTAAGGGAAAGCTTTTGCGACCCGCTTTGCCAGTTGCCTCCTTTGTTCAAGTTTTGTTGTCTTCAGATGGCACCCAAACCCTATAGTAGTCGTAGTATCTCCAGTTTTTCTAAGGTGTTCAACAACTTATTTGGTGAGAAACCTGATGCCGAAGAACTCATACAACACTTAACTACTAGAAATAGCTCCGAAGTGACTAACTAAAATTTTATTTTTAATGACAGTTGAGAAGAAGAAATGGGAAGACGAGGAAGAACAACTCTAGTCCCTACATATGACGTCAAACACTACCATTGATTAGATCCAGAGTTGGTGTGAACTTCCTCTTACTACAACAGTGAGGAAAGGGTGGAAATGGCCAGATAGATGTAGGTCCTCCTACTGACTAGTTTATCACTTATATGGCAATTGACAAGAGAATTTATAGTAACCTTTAATAGATGTTTGATCCCGTTTAACGAGTGTCTCTTTATCCGATTAAGGCACAAACTCCCTTTTAGCAAGTTTGAATAATATCTTCTGACCTACCTAAGGGCTGCCCCTTCCCAACTTCATCCCTCTGCTTGGACTTTTGTTAAGTATTCCAATGTTGGAGTGAATATCAAGGAAGAAACCCTTCACTTAACCTATTTTTCAACATTTTTTTCTCTAAATCGGACCTCCAAAGACAAGGTAAAAGGTCGGGGGACGGTTTCCTTCTGTCAGGTTGGTAGAACGTTTGATGTTTACATTGACAACTAGAAGAATCTCAAGGACCGTTTTATTTTGGTGGCTCCTTTGTCATCAAACTCATTCTGTTTTTTGTAAAGTTTATGAGGAATCATCTTCCCCTTCCTCTGTTGCATATGTTTATCCTTCTTCTTCATGTAAAGAAAGAATTATTAGATGTTGGACTTGAGAACATTTCAAACGGGAATCCCACAAGTATTCTATTGATGATGACAAATTAACTTCGGACGACTTGTTGGCCAAAGATGACCTCGTCGCCTTTCAGGATGGTCCCGATTTCGAGGAAGGTAAAGGTTTTGGGACGACTTCCTTTACCAAGGGACAAAAGCGATTATTTGATACCTAGTCCATTTTGGATTTTGTCGACGTCGAGGCGCGATACATTTTATGGGGGAGGAATTTATCTACTCTTTTGATATTTTCTTCTATTTTGTTGCTTTATTTCATGGCTTATACTTATTTCCTTCTTGCAAAATTCATGAAATAAATCCTGAGTGTTATTTAGTGATGTTGAAATCTTCTGGTCCCCTTTATTTTCATACTCTAAGGCTATGTTTGGGAGTTTGGAGGGGAAGGGAGGAGAGGGCTTTGAAAAATAGGAAGGATTTGGTGAAAAGAGTAGAAAGATTTTGCTTAAGAGGATTTTGGAGGATTTGTTTTTCTTCATACCACCAAAAATCCCCTAATTTGAGAAACTCAAAATTTGTATTGGAGGAGAGTTTTGGGAGACTTAATCAATTTATTCAAATATAATTTTTGTTATTGTATTTCAAAAACTAAAAATACATTAATGATAAATATTATTTTATCATTCTAAACAAAATCTTTTTTTTTAAATGTTAAATTTTTTTTTATATTTTAAAAAAATTATTTTTGAAAGCACTCCCTTCTCCTCCCAAACATAACCTTAGGAACCATGACGAGACTTAAGTGAGTAGAATATAATAACACCTAAACATATTGACCTTAATTGTGAATGTATTTTTATTAGCTTCCATCGTTTCCACCTCATTGCCAACCTAAACCATGAGCTTCTGACAAAACGTGAAGAAACACAATATGTTTCTCACTTTTTAGGTTTTATGCTACACAAACAATAGGGTATTAAATTAGACAAAATTAAAGCTAAAGATATCTTAGAAGAAAAGCCTTTTCACACTAAGAAAGAATTACAAATTCTATTGGGAAAAATCAACTTTATGAGAAGATTAATATCTAATTCAACAGGTGAGATGATGTCATTTTTATCACTGCTCAGGTTGAAGAAATCAAAATAAATCATATGGAGAGTTGATCAAAAAAAGGCTTTTGATCAAATGAAAGTAACCTTAGTCAATCTTTCGACACTCAACATACGAACTAGTACTAGGTAAACCGCTTAAGTTTTGCATTGCAGTTGAGACGAATCAATCGGTTGCTTGCTAGCACAAGATGTCAGTGACAAAAAATAAAAGTTGTATACTATGAATGTTTGTTGACACAATAGTTTTACAAATACCTCATAGGAAGAATAATGAAGCTAATGACGTAGTGCAATAAGCTTTTGGATATAAAGAAACACCACACAAGCTTATACCTGAAGAATACCCTATAGAAGTGTTGAAGTATTAGTGGTTTTAGATTAATTAGATCTAAGGGCTATTATTAGATCTAATATTACATCTATATAGCTGTGTATAAATATCCATTGTATTGCCACTTGTACTCTTATCCAAAATGAAATAATAGAATCCAATACATTTTGAGATCAATCTTATCTTTCTCTATTCTCTTTCTGTTACATTTTCAGTTACAATTCTGTTATTCTTTCTTCTTCTTCTTCAAAGATTCAATCATGGCTTCTATGAAAATAACTTCAACATGGTATCAGAGCCTGTACATCCATGGCTCCTCCGCGTAATACTGCTTCCGCTTCATCTTCTCTCGATCCAATTCTTGATCCTACCAGCCCATATTATGTGCATCCTAGTGATGGTCCTTCTTCGATCTCCATTACTCCTGTTCTCAATGGTTCTAACTACCATAGCTGGGCAAGATCGATGCGTCGCGCACTCGGTGGAAAGATGAAATTTGATTTTGTGGATGACACGATTCAAATTCGTACTGATTCGTTCGATCCTACCTTTCGCGCTTGGACTCGT